AGTAGCAAGCACTTTCAGTTAATTTCTTTTCGGTTTCTTTTGGGCCATGAACTACAGGGAGGTTTGTGATATTGCATGTTGTTAATGTAATGACTGTAAACTGGAGCTAAATATGATCTCCACACTTGTGGTAAAGGAGGCACTTCATCACAGATCTGACAGCTCAGTTTTGCACGCTGGGATACGTCAACCCAAACTGGGCATGTTGTGAAAATGTGATTTTTGGCAGACTGCTGTTTTTGCAGGGTTATTATTAGAGGTAAAATCTGACTTTTTTTGAAAGTGCATTAAGTTCTGGTTCAGTTGTATCGTTCAATCAATTTAGCTTTCAAACCAGTGCCCTTGTTAGTACACAATTCATGTGTATTAATCCGTTTTTGAGCCCTAGAATTTGAAAGGATTTCACATGCAGTATTTAACAAGAAGCTGTGCGTGCCAACTTTACAAAGGCTCGTCAAAAAGGGACGTTGCCAAAAAAGAAAAAAAAAACTTCAAAGACCCAATGAGCTGCAGCAACAGCTGGAGCACTAGAGGAAAATACAAAGTCCACAAAATTACTTATTTAAATTCTACACATTTTAATGAAATACAACAACCAGTGCAAAAAAGAACACTTTCTTAATCAGCATTTTTGTAGTTTCCTAATAAAAAAATAAAGTATTTTAATAAATACTTTATTTTAAAATAATTTAATTTTAATAAATAAATAAATTTTGGTAGATTGAATAAATAAAAAAAGGCCCATCAACAGTTGCAAATAGGGTAAGATTAAGAAACTATCTTGTTTATTTATTTATTTTACAAAACACACTGATTTAAATAAATAAATCATTGTAAAAGCAATACAATACATACATTTGCCTACAAAAGATGATACACTTTTGCGGTATGATAAAAGCCCACTTTGATTTATCAGTACATGAATATTAATAAATGTCCAACACAGTGTTTGCAAAACCCTACAGCGAACAGTGTGAAAATTCTCCATTTAAAGTGCTGCTGTTCTACACTGTAGTGAAGTGTGTTGTAATGGAGTCATGCTGACTGAATCACAGAAGAATCAAATGCTTTTCAACCCCTGCGGCCATGCAAATCTAGGACGGTTCTCTTTATAAAACTTAATTCTGTTTAAAAGTTGACAGTTCTAAAAAACAACCAAATAGGACTAAAAATTCAGTATTGTTAATTGAACAACTGTTTAAGGAACAGAATATTAAGTCTTTTATCTCAAAGGTCCTTATTAAGATCACATGTTACCCAGAATTAAAGCTTTATTGATTTTTTATGACAGGCAACATCCACTTGACTCCTCAGTGGAGTTTTATCCACACTATAGGGATGAGGGCCACATCTACTTCAATGAGAGTGAGCTGTGCCAACATTCACTTTGAAGTGTGGCCACATTTTCAACTGGGCAGGTCCCAAATGCTGAGCATCCTTTCGACTGTGTGTGTGTGTGTAGATCTTACAGGATCTTACCTCTTCATAATGCTGAGTTTGACCTTCCTCTCAGAGAGAAGAGACATAGTCAGGAGACAAAGCAGACTGTCAGGTCCTCTACAGTTACATGTTCAGGTTTCAGCTCCAGGGGTGGTGACATTTTGCTGTGTTCTTGTAAAAAGAAAGAGAAAAGACAGAAAACTTAATTATGATGACTATTATGTTAATGTTTGGGATACTGTTCACAAGAGAACATTAGTTCCAATGTTGTTTTGATTACCTGTTTCAACATTCCAAAAAGAACACATGGTCAAGCTGGATGGGTTTAGAGGGGTTTTTTGGCCTTTGTCCACTGGTCAGACTAGGAGAGCAGCTGGCCAACCAGCCAAACCAGCTAAACAGTAGCTAAGACCAAAGTACCTGAAGAAAAGCTGCTTAAACCAATGTTGTATGATTGAACTTGGTCTACTAGCATGGCCAAGTAGGTGTTCAGCTGGTCTCCCAACTGACCAGTGCCAGAAACCACTAAAATCAACAGTCCGGTCTAGCCTGACATGGCTGGGAAACCAGCTAAGATGAGCAAACCATCTTAGGCTTTTTTTTTTTCCATCGGGCCTAGCCAGCCTTCACTGGTCTTAGTTGGTCAACCAGCTTGACAAGTACTGAAGACCTATCTAAAACCAACCAAGACCAGCAAACCATTAGAGGTTGGTTTAAGAAGGTATAGCATGTCGGTGCCAACAGCCATGTGGGCAGCATGCTGACATACTGTTGCGCTACAGATGTCCCGAGTTCGAATCCCGACCTTTCCTGATCCAACCTCGCTCTCTCTCTCTCCCACTTCCCTTCCTGTCAGCACTAAATCTGATATTCCCCACAACATCAAAATACTAATAATGCTAAAAATGCTAATTCTCTTGGGTTTTGGGACGGCAAACTGAACAGCTCTATTCAACATGACAACATCTCAGCTCTAAACATGATGAATGCCATAAATCTGTGCCACACATTGCATGATATGCAGCATGTAGCTGTGGAAGAGAGCTTGGTGAAATTGCATGCTCAAACCACAAGTGATAGTTTTAAGTGTTATTTGTATGTGGTACTGGAGACGGAGGTGAGAGAAATTGAAGGCGATGTTGGGGACCTGCCAGCAGAAGCTGTGCATAGGATGGCATTTTAGCTGCAAATTGTCTTGCTAGCAGCAGGGTGTAGGTGATAGGCACGCGCCATGTCGCGAGTTAGTGTTAGCGGTGCCGTGACTCAGCACAACGACATCAGTGCCAGACATAGCTTCCCTCTCACTGGAAATCTCAGCAGGGCTCTGGGGCTTGTTGTTCACAGAGAACTGGTTGACCCATCAGTCTGAAAAAGCAGTCATCAGAAAAAAAACTACAGGAGTCCACTGAGTAAAGTGCAAACATCCATCTGAACAAGTTCAGTCAACACAGTCGAACCAAAAGACAATACTAGAGGTGTGCAATACTACATATTTTTTAAATAAACAGCATAATTATGCTGGTTTGGGGTTTACCTCACCCCGATTTGACACGTTTCTTAGAGGACATTTCCTGAGTCATGTTCTTGGACTATTTTTTTACCTTGACAGACCATCTCTCTAGACCAGTGATCAATGGAAAGCTTATTTATTCAGCTTTCAGATAATGTATAAATCTCAATTTCAAAACATTGACCCTTATGACTTATGTTTTGTGGTCCAGGGTCACATATAACATACACATAAATTGTAAGAGTATGACTAATGCTGTTGAATAAACAGCCTATAAGGTAAGGCTATTAAATAGCAGTCCCAAACTAGTTTTTGTTAATACAATTAAGTTGGTTTGAGCCACCGCAGTCATTTAAATATATACAAAATGACACAAAGTGAAAATAACATAGTATTTTTGGGTTATGGAAACAACAGTTACAATGTTGAATATACAATATTAACATGAACTGTTAATGAAACGTGAAAACTGCTCCTGAATAGAATGAATATCATACTTTCATGCAAATCCTTCCCAGCTAACACACGCAGTACCAGTTATGTGATTTATCGGTACTGTACTTTTATTTCACGCGTTGCATGCTCGTAGTTTCTGCACTTTAGTGAAGTGATATACAGCACGGCGCCGCGTTCTCGCGTCCTATTGAAGAGTGCACGCTACAAGTACGGTATAACATCTGGCAGGTCAGGATAATTCGTTTTTCTGAGATGAGAGACTTTTTATTTCATAAGTTATGAAAATAACGATAGAATAATGACACTGACATTAAGCTTGTCAACATCTCATCTGACCACAGATACTGAATCGGGACAGCGTGTTTTTCTCAGGCACTCGTACTAATAATGCTAAAAATGCTAATTCTCTTGGGTTTTGGGACGGCAAACTAAAACTATAGTGGCGTCCCTGGTCCCATCCTCCTCCTGGACGACCACTTTCCTGCAGAGTTAATTTCAATGAAAGTCTTGCATCAGAAAAACAAGAATTACGTTTTTTGTTGTTGATGTCGTTTCTTTGGCCGTACACTCTGTGACCCACTCAGAACAGTCTCGCGACCCATTTTTGGGTTCCGACCCACCAGTTGAGAAACACTGCTCTAGACAACCTCAACAATCTACTAGTTGATTATGAAGGTGTCATGTCAGTCTTATGCACACCCCTTCAAGTAGTGTAACCCAATGCACTAATGTTTTTTGGTGGTTCAGATGTCTCTAATTAGGAATACAGCTAAACTTTGCTTGATCCAGGAGGAGGATTCGACACCCCTGGACTAAATGGCTGTTTGACCGCTGTAATTTATCCTTTCTCCACATCATGCAAGTCTAGCAAATTTCCATTACTTTTTAGCACCATATAATCACTTTACCTGGAAAATGAGACAAAGATTAAGTGTATTGTGTTGTTTTAGATTGAGCTAGTGCTTCACTGTGTCTGACAATTACTAAATGCACTGAGCCTAATGGAGTAGAGCAGTGGTTCTCAATTCTGGTCCTTGAGTACCACCGCTCTGCACATTTTGTATATATCTCTTATCACTTCAGACGTTTGTTCTACAGTGCCCTGTGACTTGTACATCATAAGATATACCGCCATGATTCCCCTGTTGAAATAAACAGCATATGCTGGTTAGGTATGTTTTGAAGCATGGCTGCTGGTTTGAGCTGGTCATGTGCTGGTCTGAGCTGGTTTAAGCTGACAGCACATGACCAGCTCAAACCAGCAGCCATGCTTCAAAACATACCTAACCAGCATATGCTGGTTTTTCAACAGGGTCCAGTTTCGAAGGGAGCATATGTGTTCCATTCAGAGAGCATTAAAGTGTGCGAGACATTAATTTAAATTGTATTTATTTCGAGAGGTATATTATGTCACACTTTACAGTTCTCCGTTCAATGGATTTCCTGTGTTCAGGGAGTAGGGTGCAAAGAACACTGTGTAGGGACCCTGTCAATCGGAACACAGTTCATGCATGGAGCTCACTTCTAACGAGCTGATTATCTGAATCGGGTGTGTTAAATAAGCGAGACATGCAAAATATGCAGAGCAGTGGTATGCGAGGACTGGAATTGAGAACCATTGGAGTAGATTGTAATGGGTTCACTGTAATAAGAATTAAACTTTTAGGTTGTTAGTAATATTACTCTTAGAGATTCTTCTCTGCAGTATTCCTACCTAGTTAACAGATATTTGTGTTCAAGGCAATAACTGACCGTGATCTGTACATTTCAGGCAAGAAGAACTCCATCCTGATGCACAAAGTACAACACGATCTTAACTCTGGCGTCTTCAACAACCGTGAGAACGAAATGATCCAGGAGATTGTGAAATACGATCGGGAAATGGTTAAACTGGTTAAACAAGGGGACATGCAAAGGCCCAGGGCCATGTCCATGACTCTTTCAACTCACGGGAACATATTTGCACCTTCTAGTCAACCCTCTACAACTTCTGCCATTGCTAGCCTTCAGCAGGCTGTTGCCATGAGCTTCTGTCCCCAGATGGGCAACCCTCTAGTGGGTTCTGGGGCGGTCCAGTCTCCCCGCATGGTTCGGCGCTTCCAGGTGGTCCAGAGCCAGACACCCCCAGGCTCCCAGTACTCCACCTTAGCCCTCGCCTCTGCCCTTGCAAGCACACCTGTCCACAGCCCTCTGGCAACTGCTGGTCGAATGTTCCAGTATGGTTCTAACCCCCCAGGTGCACCCTCAGGCTCCCAGTTATCCCTTGTACAGCAACACGTCCCCAGTCCCACACATCGACCTCCAGTCCCCAGGAGCACTCTAAGCCAGGACGCCCGAGTCCTATCCACCTCCCAGCCGTCCCTACCCCATGACATGGTGCAGCCAGTTGCCCCAAGCCCTCCTCAGTCCACCAGAGTCTCCTCCACTTCCATCGGTCCCCCTCAGAACCTCCCAGGCCCTGCTGGTCTTAGAGGAAGTATCCCACCAAGAATGGCACTACCCCATCAAATGTCTGTAGGTGCATTTCCTCCTGCCTCCCTCCCTCAGATGAGACCCAGCTTGGATTCAGGACTGCCCAAGAAGGATTCAATAATCAGTCTCCCAGAAACTGAACCACATCACATCAGATCTAGATTATCGTCGAATTTGTGACCACAATAGAGTTGGTGGGCTCTGTCTGGGTCAGGAATGTGTGGACTCTCCTTCACCAAGTACTATTCCTGACCCCCTTTCACACCTTTGAAATTTACTCTCAGAATGTATGTGGTGTGACTGGCCACAAGGGCAAACAAACCATCGAGACTTTATAGTATAAAATGAACATGTCTGTATCATTCTTACCACGATTGGAACTTTTCCATTTTACCTATGATATAAACATCAATGTAGCTTCCACCCTCACAATTTGCCTCTTTGAAATGGTTTTCTTGATTGTAGCTGTTCACAAAGATTACAAATGTACCACTTCCTTTTATATACTGTAGTTCAAACGATACGTGTCTGAATACCGGTACTTAGCAGTTTGCTTCTGATCACAATGTAGGAGCTTACTCCCTCTTCTCAACATGAACCGGCTAGACAATAGATATTTACCCTATAATGCACAATATTAGAATTGTTATAGAAAAAATGTATTCAACAGCTCGAGAGTCCCAAATCGGTTTCGAAACGGGATGTATTCTTACTGGAACTGCTGTCCATGTGTTTGTCTTATTCCTTCAGACCAAAGTTGGGCCAAAGGAAAATGTTAACATGAGATGACATGTAAAGGTGTGTCAAATGAAATGAAAGGATAAAAACAAATATAATTTCATTGCCTTGATTTTGACAAAATACTGTGTGACCATACGTGTGTGTTTTTCTTAGCTGTCCCACAACAGAGCACATTTCACTTCATTTAGCGTTGGGACAATTAAATGAATCAACCGTTTCCTTATTAAGGTTCATGGAAGTGAATACCACAAATTTAATCACTAATTATGCTGCTGAAGTATGAAGTTTAATGACAGGGAGACTCATTTGCCCTTATCTGGTGCATTTAAGTCTTAATTACAAAGGACTTAAGTAGCTTTGTTCTCAAAGGTCAGGTTTCATAATTAATGAACTGTTTATTTCAAAGATTGTGGCTTTGTCCTGTTTGTGAAAGTCGCCCTCCACAAATAAAGCTCATGAATATGACTTAATGCTCAAAGCCTAAGCAGTTGAGGGGGACTGCACATTTTAGAAAGCTAGTGAGGTTAAGCGAGTGAGTACATTGACGGTGATTACTCCCCTCCTCTGAAATGTGACGCGATCCATCAGGCGACGACGAGTTGCTCCACTATCAGTTGTTTTGGAGCACTAGATAACTCGCTCGCCATGGCTACCTAGTGAGGTCTGATGTCCTCTCAGTCTTTGAATCCTTGAAAACCTATTTATATTCTGCTGTTACTTACCATTTCACAGCTTGAAAGAGACTATAGGTTGCTCCTATTTGTTCTTGGCATCCTGGAGACAAAGCCAAGCGTGAATTGATCGTTTATGACTTCTAAAAAAGAACAAAATGGGCAGATGGTTGAAAATAGCATCAGACTGTTCGTATGCAGGGTGTAGTTTATTTTTGATTACTTTGAATAGAATCATAATGTCTTTCCCTTGTAAAAACAAAGTTTTAAATGATTCCCTGTGGCCCTTGCTGTGCACAAACCAGTGCCACCCCATAAGCTGATTAAAAACAACAACAACAACCTTATAGCTGCTTTTAATGATATCCTCAGTTTTATGTTGCACCAAAAACAGATGTTGATTTTATTCAATATATGCCAAGTGTTACTTTTTTTTTGCCAAATTCTAAGTAATATTTCAAGCAATAAAGTTTACAATATGTCCATGAGAAAAGAATATTTGTCTTAGTTGGAGTTATCATTAACAATACACACGTTCCACAAAGTACCACTAAGTTATACTATGCATTATGGTAGAGGAAAAATATGTTTTACTATGAAACTTTTGTCTGGAGGGCATGTTAATTTTTACAACTCTGCATACATTGATTTATCATCATTTATCCATACCATCTTTGGTTATTTTTTCATGACTATATTGATTAAAGAGCCATGTTTTTAGCAGCGGTTCTGCGGTTTTGTTTGAATAAACTTTCAAAACAGCTTGTGTTGAAGCTACTTAACAAACAGTGTTCCATTAATTAGGATGTTACAAGAGCCTGGGGTTGTTTTGCAGCTTTGCGTGAAATAAAGGTGTATAATGACGGGCCCAGGGTCAAATTTACTTACCGTTTAATTTAACTTAATTTTTTACATCAGGTCTATGATGTTTGGTCCAGCATATCTGAAATGCAATTATATTTGCTTAAGATCATAAATGGAAGTAAACCACAGCATCATCTCTCATCACCAGCTATAATCTTCCCACAAAAATGTGCAAATCTCATTTAAAAAAATGTTTGCTCAAGTACCCGTTGTGTTTTTGTAGTCATACTTTCCTCTGAGAGCCTGTTTGATGTCTAAGCTGACAGTTATTAAGGTTTCAACACAATTTTGCGTTTGTCAGACAAGCTACCATAAAAGAAGTCAACTTTAGACTTTTGCTAAGTGCTCCTGTATGCAAGTTCCTCTCTTGAACTTTCTCTGAGTTGACAGTGTGTCAGCATGTTCAACTTGTGGTCAGTCTACTCAAGATGTTGAAAGATGTGACATGGTGAACCCTTGAGAGGCATCTTTCCCTCAGAAGGCATCTCTGTGACAACTTCAATCAATCCACTCCACTGTTGAGCGCACAGAAAATGTTTATATTTTCTTGGAGAGGTATTGTGCATTAGAAAAAAGAAACTAGAAAAAGAAACTTTAAAAAAGTTTCTTAGCAAAAAAATTTAAAAATACGATTTTTTTTTTTAAACAGAGAAACAGTA